ACATATATGAAATATACATAATAATAAATACTAATATATTTTTGGTACATATCGTATGTGTTTACATATAATATACATATGTATAAATATTTTTAAAAATTTTATTTTTTCTCCCTTTTTCTGTCTTTTCTCTTTCTCTTTCATTTTCGTAAAGTAAAAACTTCGTTGCGCTGGTTAGTAACGATAAGCAATGCGAGGTGTAGAACATAAGAACGTTGTTCATGTACAATGATAATATTATTGTAAAATATATTTAATATGGACTTATATAGAAGAGTTGTTTTCAAATCAGAGCTGATATCCGGGGGTTCTATAATATAATATACCCCCTTACCCCCCCATTCGGATCTGATGTGGAAGTAGCTGAAGATTAATTCGTACATAGCAAATTACTGTAATACCTTTATCGTATATAAATAGTGACTGAATGAAGTGGAATATATGAGAATTTATGGTGAAATGATTTTCTCTTTTTCATGGATTAAGCAGAAATAAATTTTCTGAGAAACGCGTCGTAGCGTTTTATCTATTTTCCTTCCTTTGCATTAGTGTTTTTATACTAATATAACTTCTCTGACTAATCTTCATAACGCGTTACGTTTTTTTCATCACCAAGCAAACAAACAAACAAACTAACATGAGATATATTAGATTTTTAACTTTTCTTCTCTATATATCTAAAAGCGATCAAGAACACGATTGATTATCTGGTAGAACTTTTCCCAACACTACATTTTCGCTGATAGAGAGAGGAAAAGAGAAAAAGAATTGTGACTTTGTTTTTAGCTGTTTTATATACCCCGCTTTATAATTAGTCCAATATTAAATATGTTAATATTATTGTGTGTATCTGAACTGTGTTGCAAGTGTACAGAGATATAGATTATATCATGATATATAAATATAGAAGGTATTGTATTCCGGAAATTTAATACACTTTACATTTAGAGAAATTCATACTTTAAACGAGACACATATTGCGTTCCGATATTCACTGCCAATACTAAAAATCTATATTTTACGTCACGTGTCTTATAGATTTCCAATACTGGCAATGAATATCGAAACGCAGCCATAACTACATGAATCTACACATATATTTTAATTGTGTAAATGTGTGCAATGAGAGAAAGAGAGAGAGAGAGAAGAAAAGTGAGAGGTTGATAGAAATGCGGGCATTTAGCTACAAAGCGAAAATCTTTTTAAGAGATTCTTTTATTAAACGATTTAATGTACTCTACAATGATGAAGTTCAAAAAATTTCTTGGCCTCTATTTACCGGATGAGTTGTTTTGCCTACACACAAGAATTGCAGCACATAAATATATTACTATAAATATTCTCTTGTAAGATGCACATCTTTCAATTTGTTTTTTTTTTTTTTTTATTAAACGTAGAAAAAACTGTAGATCGACCATTCCACTTTCTTTTTTTCTTTAGTATTGATAACATTCGAGTATGTCTATCTGAGATTTTTGATTGTGAATAGTAAAGATCAAGTGTAATATACGTGTACATAGTTTAATTAAGCTTCGTGTATCACACTGGATCTTTTCTTGATTACCTTACAAAATCTCAGTTCTTTAGAGTGCCTCTAGAGTTAGCACATTGTATCATATATATGAGCATATAGAAGTCCGCTTCCCAAGATTGAAATCAAAACCAAGCCCTATAATAGCGAGTTTATATATAGTTTATATGTATCGCTTTTAAGATGTAGTGTAGAAATAATCCTTTTCTTTTTGCATACATTATATATATATATATATATATGTATATATATATATATATAAATATATATATATATACATATATATATATATATATTTATCTACACACATATATGTATATACACGAGGAAGATTAATTGTACGGTTCGATATTAGAATTTCTATGAAATATACGCAGATGTAAAAATATCAAATTTTGTTAAGAATCAACCACTTAATGATAATTCCACATCGAATTACTTTTGCAAATTAGATCAAAAATTCTTTTGTTCAATTAACGACTCTCTCTTGTAAATTTGTTTGTCATAGAGAATAATAATTTCTTTGAGAAAATTATTTTTTACATAATATATTTCCACACAAGTTTGAAAAGATGTTTAATATTATATTATACTATTTCGATTAATCGTATATATTTTTTGCCGAATATTTTGGGGTCTATATATCTAATACAAAACATTCCTCTTATTACGTACACACGTAACATGTGATTACAAATTCTGAGTGTTTCTGTTTTTTGTGTCCGTATTCTAATTAAAACTTATATACAACTGTACAACACTAAATGATACTACACCAGAAATGTACAAATTGAATTTGTGAATAATATTTGTATCAACATAGAAATGTGATGTGGTTTTCCAAGGTTTCTAGGATATGACTGATTAAAATAAAACACAGAAAATTCGCGATAATATACTCTTCTATATGATCATTATATCGAATTCGTAGTGTGGTTCGTAGCGAGTATTCCGATGTGATTATATATATTGGCTTTTGACGTGCTCTTGAGTTAATAGAAAGTTTAGATAATGTCGCCACCGCTGGTATGTGTAATACGCACGCATTTATTTGACATACGGTTCATCTATCTAGATCAATACGCAAATCTTCTGAATAAATCTCTATTTGTCATGATTCATAGTTAGGAAACTTCCGTTATACTGATAATATAAATTAAGCAAGATCATGTAATTCAGTAATTTTTAGCTAGTATTTTAGATTATTTTGTGAACGGTATAAATTTTTGTTGCAAGAATATAAATTATTGTTATTTTGAATCACAACTTATATTTCCTTCAAAAGGATGAAAAATAAGTAAAGCAGGATTGATCTATTGCATTATTTATTTGAAAAGTTTTAGCAAACAGCTGTATACAAACATAAAAATTATAAATGTATAGAAACTTCTTTCATAAACTTAATAGAAAAATTAGAACAAGATCTTATATGCTTATATATTTTTACTGTAAAGATTAATGGTAAAGTAAACGCACTCAAATATATATCTATATACATATAAATATATAAATACATATGTATATATCAAAAATATCTGAGCTCGTGTGACTCGAAACATGAATTGTTTTGCTTTATAGTTATTCTAATATCAAGTTACAGTTTGGTCTTACTGTCATATATCAGTCTTCAGAATATCTATTCTCTAATGACTTTTTTTTAACTCTATTATCACGATTTTAATCATCGTTCATGTGCTATTGTAACATTAATCTATTGTATAAATTTTATATATCTTAAGTATTCTTAGTCTTCAGAACTGCGCTTAAAGAGCAACTGGGCCAGGATTGGAAGGTGGCTCGGCGAGCGTTGGAGACAGAGTAGTACACGGCACATAAGATGTTCCAATCATCTGATTCCATTGTTCTTGCATTTGTAGCGGCGGTGACGACAAATAATGCATCAGCTGTTGATACATCATTGGCGGCGCATACGGCATCGGTTGACCTCCCGTTTGCGAGTAACTCGGTGGATAACCTTCATTCACTTGCTGGTAGTGCAAGTTTTCATCCATGTGCTGTGGTGGGATAAAATGAGGAACATAACTGCCATTACCAGCATAGTACATAGGAAGGTTCCTCATATTGCCCTCGTTCTGCGGTGAATATTCGTACGGCACGGACGACAATACATTTGGTGATGCGTATTGTGGCGACCCGTAAGTGTTCATCGGGGATTGAGGGAAAAATTGATCCCAGTAACGCTGCGGCGATTGCATTACGTGCATATTCGACCTGTGCGATGTGTCGTATGTATTCGCGGAAGTGCCCGGAATCGCAGCTTGACCTGGGAACTGTGTGTACACTCTCCGCGTGTTATTCTGGCGTGTACGCATTCTGTTTGCTGCAAGGAGAAAAATTGATTTTTATATACTTAACAATATATATTTATTTTTTGAGTTTTTCAATTTCGAACTTTGCTATTGTATTAAAA